CCCCTCATTTTGATGGTCCTGGTAAAAGAAAACCAACAACGCAAACTAGAGGTCTCTATCTCAATTCAGTATAAAATGGCAGCCAATTGAAATTCTTAGAAGTTAAATATCACTTACAGCTTACCAAGTCTGGAGACCCCCTGTAAATTGTGTAACGACTCACACTAGGAAAACTAAACTCTACACAACTTTATGCCATGTTATGAAGTACTTTTTGAGCCTAATTGCTACTTGGTTCCCAAACCTAAAATGGGGGATTTTGGGGGAAACTCAAAATTTTTAAACGTTAAGACCCATTGAGTGACCCCTCATTTTGAAGGCCATAATAAAAGAAAACTAACAATGCAAACTAGAGGTTTCTATCTCAATCCAGTAAAAAATGGAAGCTGATTTAAATCTTTAGAAATCAGAAATAACTTGCAATTTTATATTTAATTGGCTGCCATATTTTACTGTGTTAAGATAGAGACCTCTAGTTTGCGTTATTAGTTTTCTTTTATTATGACCTTCAAAATGAGGGGTCACTCGATGGGGCTTATTATTTAAAACTTTTGAGTTTCCCCCAAAATCCCCCATTTTGGGTTTGGGGACCAAGTGGTTATTAGGCTTAAAATGTACTTCATAACATGCCAAAAAGGTGAGTAGAGTTCAGTTTTCCTATTGTGAGCCGTTACAAAATTTACAGGGGTCTCCAGACTTGGAAAGCTGTAAGTTAAATTTAACTTTTGAGAATTTCAATTGGCTGCCATTTTATACTGGATTGAGATAGAGACCTCTAGTTTGCGTTGTTGGTTTTCTTTTACCAGGAACATCAAAATGAGGGGTCACTCAATGGGTCTTTTCAATTGAAATTTTTGAGTTTCCCCCAAAATCCCCCATTTTGGGGATGTACACCAAGTGGCGGTTATGCCCAAAAAGTACTTCATAACATGCCATAAAGGTGTGCCGAGTTTAGTATTTCTAGTATGGGCCGTTAAAAAAATAACAGGGGGTCTCCACACTTTTTAACCCTGTATAATGTTATTATACAGGGTGGCTGAAAAGTAACTTGCACCCCCCCCCCCCTTAGCTTTTCAACCATTTGAGATATTTGAAATCTGTTTGCGACAACCTTCTTAGATATGAGGGGCTACAATAATTATGGTCAATTTTGAAAATTTTGCCCTTAAAAGTAGCGGGGGTAGGGGGTAGCTCAAAATTTTCAAATGACAAGTATAGTCGAGTTTGGTATCATTTTACAGGTCTTGACGAAACATAAACATTGACATAAAGAAAACCAAAATCGGCTCACTAATAACAAAATGGCGCCCTAAAACGTGTCGAATCCAAATAACCATGAAGGTGGCAAAAAAATAAACTTGCACCCTCTTTAACCTTTTGACTATTTGAGATATTTGAAATCGGTTTGTGGCAACTTGTTTGGATATAAAGGGCTACAATAATTATGTTCAATTTTGAAAATTTTGCCCTTAGGGGTAGCGGGGGTAGGGGTAGCTCAAAATTTTCAAATAGCAAGTATAGTCGAGTTTGGTATCATTTTGTAGGTCTTGACGAAACATAACAATTAACATAAAGAAAATAGAAATCGGACCATTAATAACAAAATGGCAGTTCAAAATTACTTTAAATAACCATTGTCTCAATCATTTTTAGCTGCCATTTTGTTATTAATGCTCCGATTTCTATTTTCTTTATGTTAATTGTTATGTTTCGTCAAGACCTACAAAATGATACCGAACTCGACTATACTTGCTACTTGAAAATTTTGAGCGTCCCCCTACCCCCGCTACCCCTAAGGGCAAAATTTTCAAAATTGACCATAATTATTGTAGCCCCTCATATCCAAACAAGTTGCCGCAAACCGATTTCAAATATCTCAAATGGTTTAAAAGATAAGGGGGGGGGGGGTGCAAGTTACTTTTCAGCCACCCTGTATACGGTATATGTGATCATTGGCGATCTTGTGATCCAGTAGTTTAATGTGTTCATGTTGGTAACAGATTGCATGATTAGTTAAGTGTTGCAAAACACTACTTTAAGACATGTTATTTCAAAAATAACATTAATAAATAATAACGTTAATGTTTCAGTAATAGCTTCTTTACCATACTGTGACAGCTCAACTGCACTGAGGCTCAAAAAGGAACAGGTGTGAACCATCCAGGTGCCAGCTTAAGAAGGGGTTCCCTGGGGTAAAGGTTCCACTTAGGGGTCCCAAAGAGACTTTGCCCTTCCACTGCAATTGCTAATGATGCCACTATTATCATGGACATTCCGCAGGAAGGTGGGAGAGCACTAAACCTCGTCACAGGATTGTATAAAATACAGGATTTCTCAATATCAGAATTCCCTAATTACAATAGTTGGTCAAAGATGTATTAGTGAACTACCATACAAACTAAAAACTTACTTACTCGCCACGATCGTTTGATCAGGGAGTCGTTAATTTTCTTCCTTTTTTGGGGGTTTCTATGTTTTATGTTTTGTGTTTGTGTGTTCCTCTATGAATTCTTTTATTGTGTAGTAGGGAAGGGACTAGCAATTACATTTAATTTTTATTTTTTTCAAAGTGGGTGTGTTTGATTTTAGATATTGCGGTACGGTAATTAATTATAGAACATTGATCAAGAGTATGTGGGTGTGTTATTTGTTTCTTTTTAAGTCTGTGTTGTGATATGTCAATGTTTGTTTTATTTCTGGTATTGTACTTGTCTTGCGCTTGTCTTAGGGTGGGTTTCGATTGGATGATAAGGATTGTGGTTTCGCAGATATAAAGTGAGGTGGCTGTCATTATGTTATGTTGAATGAAGAGGGGCTTATGATGTGTTTGTTCTTCTAATCTTGTTATTGTTTTGATTGCTTTCTTTTGCATTGTTAAGTGTTTTTGAACTGTAGATGGCTCTGTACAGTTCTTGAGCAGCAATGACTCTTTGTGCTTGAAATACACACAAGATTTTTCCTGCCACCATAATTAACTTATAATAGCACAGAGATTAACTTTTTAGATGTATATAAAATGTCATTTAGGTTATGGTTGCTTTTTTACGGTTATGTTATTTGCTTACCTGTTTTTAACTAACATACCCTATTTTTTAGCTACCAATTTAAAGGAAGAATATCTTTTTCGTGAATACAACATTTCATATTTTCATCAAACATTTTATAGTTGAAACAAGATGTTAAGACTAAAAGTATTCACTTTAAATTAATAAGCATCAATAAAAATAATAATTGTAAATTTTCCTTTCTATTCTGCAGGCCCCGCTTCCACAGACCATAATACAAAAATCTCACTGCAGTCTTTGGAGCCTATTCTTGTCCTTCATTTGATACTATTGCCGTGTGCAGGAACACAATAGTATAGCACTGACAATACATTTAATAAACTTATCTTATTAATTACTTATCTTATCTTATCTAATTAACTTACCTGTCTCAGTTCGGCATTTGACTAAGTCAACAGAATTGACCTAATCAACAGTATTTTCTTAAGATTAACTAAACCAAGCCATTTTGTCTAGCTCTTGATGTTTACAAAACTGATCTGTAAATCTTAAGATCTGAATTATTACCCCACTTTTAGTTAGACTCAGGGTTGGCGAGAGCCATCAGGGGCCCTTGGGCCGAGTGATCTTGGACCCCTATTTTCCCGACAAAGTCCAGCTACCTCCGTGAAATTTATTACACAAATAACAATATTTCGTAAATGCTTGATAGTTTGATTAATTCACGTGCTCACAGTTGCAACTTTATTCAAGTCAAAAAACTAACAAGTCAAGACTTGAATTACAAAATGCAAGTAAAAAAATACTTAAGAAACTGAAAAACTATCCTAAAACGTTTTACTTTGGCAGATTACATGTACAATAAAAGTGTTACACTTGGCTGGGCAGGGTCCCCTTAAGAGCCCTGGGCCCCAGGGCTCTGGCCCCTCCTGCTTCACCCTCTAGCCGGCCCTGGTTAGACTTCATGCGACCCCAATTCCCTACTGGAAAAGGATTATTCTTTTAATATCCATTTTTTGGTTGTGTTGCTAGCCTAGTGGTTAGCGTCTCGGACTTCGGTGCGGGAGGGACGGGTTCAATCCCCGGCACATCCACTACATTTAATCTCTCGTAACTCTTGTGAAATGCCACTAGCGTAGAAAAAAAGATACTTTCCATTTCTCTTTTAATCTGGCTCAAACTGTAGAAAAGTTATGTGACAAGCCTACCTAAGTGTTTATGTTGAATGACACATTCAGTTTGAATGGCACTTTGAAGGTCAATAAATCAAAACATTATTAACAGTTTAAGACATTCTTAAACAGGTTAAAAGTTCTTAACAGGTTAAGGCCGAATAAGAAAACCGATGAGCTCATAATGGAAAACATGTTCTTAACACTTAAAGTGCCGTTGACATGTTTGAACATGAAAATTGCATTTATTTCAATGTTAAGCAATGGCGGGAATTCCCGTCATCAGCACCCAACGTGTTAAACCATTTAAGACTGTTCAATGGGTTAAATGAAATGTACATCACAATCAATGGTCCATTAAAATTTTATCCATCACAAAATACATAGAGCCAGTCAAAGTTTAACATTCGTTTAGCTAATTCTTTTAAGAAAATATAAAAAAATATAAAAGTACTAAGTCCTAAACTTCATCAACACTTCTTTAGGGAATTTGGACAAAAGTTTGGGGCATTCAATGCCAAAAAGCAATTAAAATAATAAAATAAGCAATCAATGTTCCATTAAAATTTTATCCATAAAAAAATACATAGAGCCAGTCAAAAGTTTAAAAGTTTATAACATTTGTTTAGCTAATTCTTTTAAGAAAATTAAAAAATATAAAAGTACTAAGTCCTAAACTTCATCAACACTTCTTTAGGGAATTTGGACAAAAAGTTTGGGGCATTCAATGCCAAAAAGCAATTAAAATAATAAATCATAAGCAAACTATTTACATAAGTTACAAATCTATTTACATTTTGATGTCTTACACTTTCTTCACGTCTCAATAATCATCTAGATTGAACACTTCGTTGGTGTCCAAATCGTCACACTGCATGCTCTGGAAATCCACTTTGTATCTTAGAAGCCCTAAAACAATCATGACGTTTGATCAAAATAAACTCAAATAACTGTTTTCTAATAGCAGCATGCACTAGGGGTTTATTTTTTACAAACCATCGCTGTGTAAATTGTAAGTGAGTCCTAATTCAGTGGCTTTACAGAGACTTTATATAGGTAATATTCTTAGTTCTAATTATTTGGCACCAATCAATGTTCTTGCATTTATCTAAGATATTCCAGGGTCTGCATTCTTTAACAGCTGGCCAAACTTTAAGAATCATCATTCATTGCTTAGCAAGAAGTAAGTAGAAGTGTTAAATTGTAACAGTTGTGGGGATAAAAAATTCCTATAATATTTTGTGTTTCTATAATAAAAACAGATGTAACACACTCCATTATCCTTTAGGAAATCTAAACAACATAAAAAATTTACCTTAATGGAGTTGTTAACCTATAAAATGTTAATGAACACCTTTTTAATCCACCTTTGGGTCCAAATGATCCCAATTAGGCTTTTAAGTTTTGAAAGAAGTAGTATAACTCATGGAAAATGTATGCAACAAACTCAGGACAGGTATCATGCAAACTTTGAAAAATATATATTTGCTTATAACATTTATTTTTGATTTTAATGCAAATGTTATTCCAGGTTAAAAATTCAAATTTTCCAGGACAAAACTTTTGCATCCAAATAAGCAAAACTAGCTAATCTATACCTCCTAGTACATTAAATCCCCCCGCCACACTAAACTTGCAGACTAGGCCAATTTCCATTTATCTGCTTGGATTTTACTTAAAATAATCTCCTCAAACTGTTAGACTTATTTAAAAAAGATAATTTTTTATTTGAATTTAGATTTGCTGGTAAAAAGAAGGCAATAAACTGTGCTTTTTATTAAAATGGTAATCACTTGGTAGGAAATAAACTAATTTTATAAAAATGGGAGAAGGACAGCGTCCCAGATCTTTTTTTGGGTTAATCCCCTGATTTATGGCCTGAGGGGTAGTGGTCACCAGTGGGGGGGTTGGGAATCGAGAATTCTGAATCCCACCAGAGGCGTTAACTTTTTGTCAAAGATTTCGCTTAGAATGCGATTACTTCTTAACTGTACATCTTTTGTTATAATTTTTAACTTTATGACCAAAACTATTTTTCGATTATTAACCTTTATTCGATTTTTTTATTATCAGCAAGTTTGGTTGGTTTGGTTAGGTTATGATAGTAATTTTACAATAAAAAAAATTATAGAATTAAATGTTAGGCATTTGTAAATTTACTTTATGAACAAAACTATTTTTTTTATTAGTAAACCTTCATTCGATTTTTCATTATCAGCAAGTTTGGTTAGTTTGGTTAGGTTATGACAGTAAAATTAAATTTAAATTTAACCTACAAACGATACGTTTTGACAGCGACGGTGATAGAGCTAACAATTTTCCGCGAACAGTTTGGCTATGCACGGTTGATGCGGAAGCGTTCGACACTAACCTAAAACTGACAGGTCAACCGACCGTGATTAAGAGGATTACAGCCTCGGTCATGTGCCTACACCCTATAAAAATACATCCCTAAACAAGCAAACCGCGGCAGATTATTTGTTCTCTATAAGATTAACATGAGAATATTAAGAGCTTTATTCCTGAATTTGCTACAGAAACATTAAGCGTACAACAATGCTTCTATACAAATCATTTGTTTCTTTAATCACTACAAAATAGTTTTATTAAATATTTCAAACTTTTTTAGGGGGGGGGGGTCCAAAATAGGAAAAACCAACTTTTACTCCATCCAGCCTACATTCCAATAGCTTGATCATGCCATGCCCCGAACTGATCTAAATAAATATAGGTTTACACTTTTTTTTCAAAAATGGATGATTTTGACATGAGTTATTGTGCTAACAGACATAACATAATTAATATATTACATTTAAGAACCATTTTTTACGAGTATTAAAAAATTAAAAAATCCCAGTAAGTTTATGTCAAAGACAAATATTTTGTGTAGGGCTTTGAGTTTGAATGTTCATACACAGTTATAGCAACCAAGTATATATATTAGCTCTTAAGTACTAAATAGTAAAGAATGTTCTGTAAAATGAGTCATAAACCTATTGCAACACTATGTAACACTGAATTTACTTAATTAAGGTAATTAACTTAGTAGGTCAACAGGTAATTATCATATTAATATTAAATCATTAAACACTGGGAATAGTAGTAGAACAAAACATTTTTGTCTAAACACACCAAAAGACAATGCACAAGTTAACCTCATCATCCATGACAAAAACAAAAAACTAAACGTGTGATTGAAACATGATTCATGCATAAAATAAGACATAATTGCAAGTGATTTCTAAGACAATAACAAACATGAATAACAAATTTAAAGAAGGAAATCAATGGATGATTTCCAATACTGCTCTTTTACAAACCTTACAAACCCTTATAATTACTAATAAATGGATAGCACAAAGCTCACTCCTATGTCACAGTGATATACCTTTATCTATCTAATTAAAGCCTTACTAATTTTATATAAAGGGTGTTTCAGAACTCCCTACCAATATTTTAGGGCATTGTTCCCGGGTAAGAATCATATCTTAATATCATATTTAAATTTTCGGGAAGTCCTTCGTTACTCACACAGCCGCATTTTGTTTTTTCACTTATAAATTTTTTCCTACATATTGGTTAAATGTAGGAAATTGAAACTTTGCAAAAACATTTATGACAACTAGACAAAGCTACAGAAAAATTAGGACAAAATTTAGAATTCATAAAACAAAATGGCGGCCGTTTAAATTTTTGTTTCTTAAACAACTTAAAAACCGTTAATTTTACAAAAATTTCACAAGAATACATTTTTTTAAGAAATTTAATAAAAAATCAAAATACACCTTATTTATTAATATTGGACAAATATTAACTGAGATATGGCAGCTTTAGTGATACATGACCGCTGGAAGTTAGTTGCAGTTAATGCCGAGGCATACGGCTGAAGTCTGTCCCAACAATACAACAATCACCGTCCTCTTTGCAAGTTATTTTTAAGTGATTTTAGATTATTTTAAACAATAATAAAATATTACATAACACCAAAACTGTATTTTTTATCAATTATCTATCATTAGGATGACTTAACAATTGCACACCTCTTTACTGTCTTAAAAATTTACACAAAACACCCAAACCTTTTATATCAGCTGTGGTGAAAGCCATCATAATTGTTTACAAACTAATCAGCTGATTTATTTGTTGTCTGAAGATGTTATTGTTTATTCAATGTAGTCAGTTCCTCTAACTTACTTTTAAAGTGTACACTCAGTGTAAAAGGTTAGAGGAACTGACTACATTGAATAAATAATAACATCTGTAAACATTATATTGGAGTTTGCATTATGAGTTCTACTGTACTCAAACTTATGGTGTTCATTTCTGAGCAGGGCCGGATTTAGCATTTTTGCGCCCCTAGGCCCAAATAATTTTCCGCCCCCTAGTCTGGTCACATTTATTCAAACCTTTATTAAAAACTATATAATTCCCATAGGCCTAAGTTAACTGCTTGAATAACACTCCTCTTTGGAATCAGAGCAAGTTTTTTTTTAAGAATTGACTTGTTTAGCCTTAACAAAATGCCGTCTTAAACACGTTATTTAGCAATTTTATGCTTTTAATAAATGCTCACGTTTGTGGCCGTGGTGGGACTGAAACAAAAAAACTCAACCACCCGAGCATTCCTGCAAAAAAAACATGGCCATTGGTTCCAATTCCAGGCCCAAAAAAACATGAACTCCATACAGTACGTCATACCATAGATTAAACCTGCTCCTTTAGTAGATTTGTCATCATTTTGGATTAGCTGAAAACAATTCTTGTTATTTTGTTTAAGGAGTATGTTTTATCTATGTTTAAACCTAGTTTATCCAAAATAAAACGATCTAATGATTAAAAATAGGTCGTCTCCTGTTTATTTTACTAGAAATTGAAACACACATCATAGAACTTACCCTAAAATAATAGAAACAAAACGTCAAAACTAACGTCCAGTGTCACCAACACCAACATGAACTAGACATGAACAAATTTTGAATTAACCATGTTATAAGAAGTCGACTTGAGTAATATTTAATCTATGGTCGTACTGCATCTAGATTAAATATGCAGAGTGGTTTCCAAAGCAAAACCATAGATAAAACATACTCCCTTGTGTTGGTTAGTCTATGGCAAAACAGAGCAATATTCCGGCTAACCGTACCGTCCTTACTTAGGTCTGAGGAGAAAAGGACAGCATTACTGTTGTTTTGGAGGGTATTGGATTTTTCTAAAATCTAATGCAAACAGAGATTAATATTTTTTCGTTAATTTTAAAGGTAAATACATCGTTGTTTTGATATTCAACACAACTTATTATATATTTTAACTTGATCCTGCAGATTGTTGTAAACTAATCAAAAGACTTAACTTTTGAGGTGAGAGTGATTTCTAGCACGCATGCGCCCCCAATCAATCTGACCAGTAGTACCGAGCCCTAGCCTGCATACCCCTTGGGCGCTCGTCATCGTCAACATCCCTAGAGCCTACTCCCGTAAAACCAATGTTCTTTGATCTTTACCAATTTTGTAATGAAATTGATGCGTGATTCTGAAAATAGATTACATTTTCTAACAATTATTTCTTCTTATTAAATTCAGAATCACAATGCTTTGGAGTTTTTTTTACTATGACTTTTTATTTTAGAGAGCCTAGGTATAAAAAAATTACTCTCGGCCGTGCGCCCTCTGGGACCATGCGCCCATAGGCCCGGGCCTACCGGGCCTATTGGGAAATCCGGCCCTGTTTCTGAGTCGCCTTCCGGATTACCTAACAATTACTAATCTAGACTCTAGAGGTTAAATACCTTGTTGCCAACCTAATCCTTGGTACCCAGGATTACGTTGGCAACACTGCATTTAACTTCTAGATTAGCTCATGATGGGTTTTTTTCATTCTTTATGTTTGAAGTAGGCTGATCAGCCTTGCAATAGAAGACAGAATGAGGCTGAAATCAGCAGCTGAAGGTGACAATTTGTTTACAAAAGACAGGATAAGTACTATAAAAGAGCTTATTTATAACCTATTCTCGCCCTCTGAACCAAATACTTGATTTTACAATCACTCCTCTCCTGCCCGAGCAGGTAAATAACAGTTAACCATATCATTATATGTAATTTGTATTCAATGGAAATTTTCCAAGGAGAATAACTCATAGTAGCAGTGTTTCCATACGCGGGATTATTATACAGAAAACACGAGTTTTAGGGCATGAGCGGGATTAAAACAGGATTTCGGATGAAACAGGATTTTCAACTATGACGCCTCTTTTTATTTTGTATACTTATCGTTAGTGAATAACTAACACCAATTGATTAAATTACCGTAGTAAAATATAATAGCAATGATTGAACAACTATTTAATCACTATACGTGTGGGATTAGAAAAAAAAAATCATGCAGGATAAAATGGGATTTTTTAATAGCAGGATTGAGCGGGATTTCTCGACCCAGTGAGCGGGATTATATTTTTGGTCCTGTGGAATCACTGCATAGTAGCTGACACAAACAAAGTTATGAAGAATAAAGGTTTAGCATAAAAGAGAGATAGCAGCTAGCTTACCTTAGCTAAAATCCAGGTAGAACATGGTAGACACAACATTGATAGTCCTGAGGTTTATATGTGTACTATAGCCTACCTGAACATGTTTCATATGGAAGCTAGATACTATCCCTCTTATTTATTACAATCACAATCCTAGCCTATAGCCTTTCCTTAAATAAAACAAAGGGTATACAACTTACTTTGAACAGTCAATGAGAGATGAGGCTAGGAATTAGAAGTAGAGAGATAGGAATAGTTTCAACAAGGAATTGGTCAGTAATACATGACAAATCTTATTAATTAATATTGGATATTATCATTTTACATCATTTTCTGTATAATAACATGATAAGCAACCAATATACTGTATGGATTGCTCCGTGCAAGTAACTTATTTGCTTCTTGAAATAAAAAAGCAGTAAATAAAAATAATGAATAGTAATGAAGATAGAAATGCCAACTAAAAAAAATGCAACACAGAATGTTTAGGCAACCAAGTCACCTCTCAACACTTGACCAGGTTCACATGATCTGCCTGGAGACTCTACAAGTCCACACTTTGTAGTGAGGAATTCCTGTTTGCATTAAACCAGACGATAACATTGGGCCACTTAGCACACTTCACTGTACACTGCAACTGAAGCTGTTCTTACATAAGGTCTCGCAATATCTATTATTTAAGCTTGACTCTACACTTGGATGACATGATAAAATGAAATTTTTTATCGATGACTTAAGAGAACTAAAGACAAAAATCCAAAAAATGATATCTGAGTATTTTAAAATATCTTAACAATAGTATTAAAGGTAAACTAAACACTGGGATTAAGGTATTTTAGAAGTAGTTTAAACAGCACTGGTTCTAACAATGATTGATGAGCCAAACTAATAAAGTCTTTCCAAACAGTTGGTCACAGGCAAAATCGATGTACCAACAGCAGAACCTGTTATTTCCAAATTTGTAACTGGGAACAGACTTGGACTCCAGCATTGCCCAAGAATAATGGGTTTTCTAACAATATTTCTTTAAAATACATTATTTGTTCAAACATTATTTTTCTACTATTTAATGACAAAATTACTTTTGTCTGTGGTTATGGTATGATTATTTTATTTGCTTATCCCTGGTAGAAGTTGGGTTTGTACGTATACTGTAGTATCACTGCAGGTTATTCTCTGATTGATAATTATAAATACAAAACATTTAGCAACATACCAGCAAATAGTAAGAAAATGTATGTATAAATATATGAACTTGGACCATAATTTGTTAGTACTGTATCTCAATTGTTAAACTCAGTTTACAGGACAGAGTAAATGAAAAGAAGAAATTACATCAGAACAATCAAATAATAGAGTTAAACTGAGTGTTGAGACCCTGGTAGTAAGAGTTATATAGTAACTCACCTCCAATTCCACCAAATCCTTTGACAAACTGTGAGCCCTCTTGTGACTTGTCTGAGATTATCTCCAGGGTTGTACCAAAGCTCTTGTAGTTGTTGGCCAGCCACTCCAGCAAGGGTTGCTTATCCTCAGTCTTCAGCTCAACTTTACTCTGAGGTAACAACATACAAACATCATTACAAGAGAACACTGAGGGGGGATGTTATTCCAGCAGTGGGTAGGATATCAGATAAGTAGAATTTAGTAAAGAGGCAAGTATAGAGAGTGCATAACAGATATTGTACTCAGAACTGCTTCTGGAATTATCTCTTGGTAATTCAAACATTCGATATCAAAACTTTTGATAATTCAAAATAAAAGAGTAGTCAGTAAGGAATCTCTTGATACTTAGAAGTTACACCATGCATTTTGAAACACCTGGTATTTTAAAGTCCAAGCAGAGGCCAGGCCAATTTGGAACACACTAAAATTTGATGTTTTATTGGCAAAACGCTCTATAATTTGAAGGGAGGGGTTACTTCCTGTCATTACAGGAAAATATACATCCTACTAGCACAAAAGTTTGTCTTAAATAATGTCATTGATGACAAAAGAATGAACAGCAAAAGCAAACAAAAATAACAGATTTTTTGTAACTAACAAAAATTAAGCTGTTGTTTTTTATAAAGTAACTTAAATACGGTGTTTAAATGTAACGCTCTGTAACTTACATCTTTGCATGAAACAGTAATGAAAACAAAACTAACTCTTTGTAATTGAAACTGTTTCTCTTCCTTATGATAAACTGAACTCTTGATCATTCTAAACTATCGTTCATTCAAATTGATTTACTTGGCCCAAAATTTGAAATCATCAAGGACTCTACTGTAGATCCATTGGAGAGAAATTCTTTTTCTGCGACACAATCACTATCACTTTGTTTTATAAGATAGTGAGACTAAGTATGTAAGAGTGACTTGTACTTGCCTCCTTATCGATGAAGTGAGTCTTGTCCTTCTCTTGCTCAGGTGTAAGATGGAGGACCTTCTCCTCACCGTTTGTGTGATTCTTCATCACATAGCGTTGGATTTCCAAGTTCTCCCAGCAAATAAGATTTTCTACAGAACCTAGTTCCAAGGCTCTCAGAGTGTCTTCAACTCCAAAACAGTACTTGCCTGTGTCTTTACTTATTTCTTCAAAGTATCGACCTGAATTATAAACAAAAAAGAAGTTAGCCTATTTTATGGGTTAGGTTACATTTAAACATCTTTGCCACCAAGACTGATAATCGAATATAATATAATAGGTTGCGTACCTTATTCCGTCTTCAGTCTTAACTTAGTCAATGCTGGATGACTAGTTTCGGGAACAAAGTCCCATTATCAAATCCTTATTTATTATTTATTTATTTATTTGTTTATAACACCATTTTTACAGGGTTGACATGCTGATACAGATAAATACCCCCGCCGCAGCAAACCTGCCGTCTAAGCGAATTTCCATGTGACTGAATTGATTTTCAATCGATCTATTTAAATAACATTAGGTTTAACGAGTACCTAGGTTTGCTGCTACAAGGAAACTAATAAAGTGTGTGTTTTAAGTCAAATAATTATTGCTTAGTATAAAATGAATATATTTTCCAAGTTTGATCAAAAGAGATCCATAAACAAGCAAACTACAACATTTTAAAATATTCTCCATAAGAATAACATGGGAATTTTAAATTTAAAATTTTTTTAGTTTTCTCCGTAACCAATAACCATACAAAAACACTTTGATATACTAAATTGTTTGTTTTTTTTAGCTCTTTAAGAAGGTTTAGAGAAAAATTGGGAAATTTTGTGTTTTGAGGGTCAAAAGTGAGAAAAACCAATTTTTACCCCATAAAACCCCCCATAAAACCCTGTTCCTATGGTCCGATCATGCTGGATCGCGAACTCATTCAAGTTTATCCCGCCTTACACCTTCAAACCAAATTTCATCAAAATCGGATAAAAATTACTCAAGTTATCGTGTTCACGGACACATATATATATAAATCTATATATATATATATATATATATATATCTATATATATATACATATATAAAAATTTGAACCACGCTCTGCGTTGAGCCGTGACATGCCCACCAAGCGTCCCACCAATGTCACGCCTCAGTTTTTTTTTATAGTGCGAGTACTGGCCTTGCGCCGGAACTCAATCGGGTTGGATCTGGCAGCAGTCCTGCAGACCCCGGGACATTTTCCGCTGCCGAGCACATTTTTTCGGCAGAAGAACAGCGACTGTCATCGTTTCATGTCAAGTTTTGTGTTTGTAATGTTACTTTTATATCAGTTAACATCTAGTCACATTTTTACTGTGCTTCATACTAACCAATTTCTTGTAACATGTAATTAAACGGATTGCCAGTCGTCAGATGAGGTCCCAGATGGGAGGCTCTTACTGGTCGCTGCTTCCGGAGAGGTTCGCCCGGTTGATGGTTTAGAGGTGGAACCTTTGTTAGAGTTTTTGGGAAAGGTGTTGCACCTGAAGGAGTTCCCAGGCATGGAGGACTCAGTAGTGTTGGAACTGCTGGTTCCACTCTGCCTGAGACCTCTTGGTGACAAATTGTTAGACTGTTTGAAACGGGGAGTAAATTTTGACAATTTTCACAGTGAAGTGCTTGAGCTCTTTGTCCCCTTCAGGGTCATGGAGAGATTGAAAGTTGAGAGAGTGTTTCGACCTCAAACACTCTATATGGTGAATATGGTGTTTTTGGCCTCTGGGGACATCAAAATGAAAAAGTAAATCGGTCCCGGGCCTAAGTCTTACCATGAGACCTACGGTAATAGCTTATTCCCTATAGGGAAATTCGCTAATAAGATAAATACAGATAACCGACGCAGGTTACACGGTGAACTGCTACAACGAGTTCTGTCGTGTCCGCCGTGTAACCTGCGTCGGTTTGTCCCGTATTCAATGTGGCCGGCCTATCGTAAATGTGTTTGTAACTTTTATTTATGTAAAATGTGTAAATTTTATGTGTCGTCAACCTGCATGTATACATTGATGAAGACTTACGTCGGATATTTGACCATATTCAATTGATGTTTTAAATAAGAATTTGATAATGGGACTTTGTTCCCGAAACTAGTCATCCAGCATTGACTAAGGGTTAGGTTAACTATTTGGTTGTCACCAATCAATAAACGGTTGAAGTTCTGACTAAATTTTTTCATTCAAATAAAATCAAAGCTTTATTTCCCAATAGACAATACAATTGCGTGTGAAATGGTCAATGAAAGGTTGTTGGTTAAACATTTGTCAAGGAAGAGTACTTGAGTACAAGGTCAAAACACGAGATACAAAGAGAATATAAAATATATTTTATATATAAAATATAAAATGCATGCAGATGAGGATAACTACAAGAGAAAAAGTACAAACATTACTCAATATAAAATGGTGTAGGAAGTTCAAAAAAATCCTTTAGTTTGTAGAACGTGTTCTTTACTAGCCACATATGAATTTTAGCTTTAAAAACTTTGTAAGGAAGTGTTAGCAATTTGTTTGGCAACTTATTTGGACATTTTAGGCCCAGAATTTTATGACTGTTCATTGTTTTACTCAGTCTAACATGGGTTATATCAAATTGAGGTCTGTTTCTAGTTTGAAAATCATGAAAATCACTCCTTGTGGCATGGGAGTCCTTAAAACTATTTCCTTAAAACTAGTTAACATGATACTAAATATATATGAATTAATAACGGTTAAAATATTAAGTTTTCTAAATTACTTGATGCCTACAAAATAAGTTTTGTAAAATAGGCCTAGCTATATTTTTTTGAGTGGTTCATCCAAATTAAAACCCATTTTGCATCAGTGTCCATTAAATTCATTTGTGTTCATTTAAATGCTAGTTAAAGGTTGGTTTGGTTCTATTTCTTTACAAGACACAATAAAATACTGAAACAAATGTTATTACAGATATTATGTTATTAAAGAAATTAAAGAAAGGAGCATACCTATTAGTTTTTTCTCCTGTATGAATTTGACATTTTGCAGTGACTCAGCAGCTAATTCAATGGCCTGGTTGAAACCATTTTCTCCACCGTATGACACGTCGACTACCTTAACAATTTTAGCTTGAAGTCTCTGAAAATCAGAGTAAAATTTCATTAATAAATGATTTTATCTTAGTTTATTGAATAACATTAGATTTATAGACAAAATACCTGCGGACTTAATGGAGCTTAAATATTTCATTATAAGAAGAGAAGCTCTTCAATAAAGCCCTTGTAAGAGATTATTATCATAACTTCAGCTTTGAAATGAAATGAAATGAAAATCCTTCCTTTATTGAGGCGAACTTAGGACCTCATGGTCCTTTCTTACAGTTAACCTCTTCAGCAGTTAACAGCTTTCATAATGTACAATATCCAGAGGTGTTACCTCCTGTTACATGTAATTATTAAAACAATATTATTGTTAGAGGGTTCATTTCTGAACTTATATTCTGCATATAAGAGTAACGTTAGATCTTTTTGAAACAAATATCTACAGCTTGAAGATTTACTGCGATAAAAAAATCTGTGCTTCAGTACAGTAGTGCATAGCTAACAAAAATATCAAGATTACTGAATTAGTCTAAAAATAGTCATTGACATTATTGTGACCAAATGGATTCTACAAACATTTCCAAGAAAAGGTAAGGTTTAATTTTTTTATTAGTCTAGTTTAATCTGCAATTTTAGTTTAAATATAACTTACAGGATCAAACAAATCCGACTGGCTGAGCTCGGTCTTAAAATCTGCATTGCCAGCCAGGATAAGACCAGATACATTGGGCTTCTCATTGTTGATGAATAACTTAGTGGCTGTTTCTGCCACCTTCCGAACATAGTTGTGTCTCTTCTCTGATCTTATGCGAGCAAACCGCATAGCGGACTGACCACCTCTTGCTGAAAACAAAAGTAATAAACTGTTTTTGAGATTTAATTTTAGAAAACCATTAAAACTCATAACTACTCTTACCCAAGGAGGGTGGTTTATGCCTAGGCCTACTCATAAAAGAACAACATGTTGTAAACATTTGATTAAGTAAAATAATTACTCAAAGATGTTAAGAGTAAAATATGAATAATAATAACAACGAGTTAACTTACCAAAACTTAAAATCTTGCTTTGAAGTAACTTTTGGTAACAAAACCATAAAATAATTAAATACAAGATGCTACTGAGAGCCATTAGACCCAAAGACCAATAAGTGAACGGGTTTAAAAACAAAGCTTAAATAGAAATAAGGTCACCATTAGAAAGGCTAATACTTCTTTTAAAATTTGTATAGAGTTATTTGCATTTAAGAATCTCTAAAATAGCGTACTCGTCAAGGGGTACTTTTAGTATTTCTTTAATATAGATGTAGGTGTACTAACAGTGTTTTCTGGGGAGGTCAACACCGTATGAGGTTAAGACCTCTTTTGTGTTGCCTTGCAATGTCCCAAACAAGGCACCATGTCCATCCATCACAATGATGCCAAACGTCTGGTCGTCTTTTAAAAGATTATCCAGTGCTTCTGTGTGAAACTAAAAAAATGAGTCATGCATTACCAACTTGTAAAAATTATTAAGAGATTATTACTTTGGATCTCAGAGGAGAAGGAGTTAAAGTGGGATGATGTCTGACATTTACACCAAACCCTTGCAGCCCTGGAGAAACGCAAGCTGAATTAATTCATTAAAATAACTTAGCCTATAAATAATAAATATTTTGAAATAACGAGAGTTGTCTTTTTGAAAGACTTTTTGTAAAAGATTAGATCTGACATTGACGTTAAGTAATTTATTTAGCAATGTTAGATGTAAAAACGTCTGATACTAGGTACTTCTTACCTTATTGTCACAAAGGTATAGGGAAGTATTAATTGGCCTGATAGGCTCAACAACAGTGTTGACCTTCCGCTCTTTCCCGTCTTCAGTTATTGTCGTACCACAAAATACTGCGAGACCATTTGGTGGCACTGCAAAACGTTGATTGAAAGATATTACAACAAGTTAACTTGAAGCTCAAAATCTAGCAAAGCCTAATACATAAGCTTATCTAAGAACTAACATACCACTTTCAAAAACTTTTAGCCTAAAATTCGTGGTCAAATTTTTAACAAACATGAGGAACGTGAAAAAGCCTTCACTTGCAATTAGTCATACGAGCATAATTTAAATGCAACCTAAATGTCAAGCTTGTAGCTGCTCCAATATGGCTGTTGGGTTTTTATCAGTAAATGTTAAATTGGTCGTTGCTGTGGCCAGGAAACAGCTCCATAAAGAGAGGTCAATCTAATGTCTTAGACAAAGCTTGGCGGTAGGGGCTCACTTAAAATACACAAAAATAATAAAACAAAATAACTGAAGGTAAAGTATGATATCTCAATTTGGAAAAGAATGTGTTGTATAGTAATAGGAATTTCCCAAGAGGCCAAAAACACCATCTGTTTGAATTCATATATTTGAGTGTTGATTAGCAAGTAAAAATGATCCCATTCTGATAAAATTTGGTACAAACGTGTAAACCTACATTTATTCAAACGAGTTTGCAAACCAGCTATGAGAACAGGGCTGTATGAGGTAAAAATAAGTTTTTCCTATTTTGTTCGGTTAAAAATATTCCTTGATCTGTTTATAATCATAAATATGTCATTGTTATGTGATTATTCTTATTGTTTACATTTGAATTATTTACAAGTTGTACACAGATTTAGTTAAGTTAATAAAGATACTTTTTCCTACAGTCACCCGACAAAGTTGGCTTCCTTGTACTGTTTATAATACAGAAAGCTGCTAAATTGCTGCATATTTATACTTTTTCGTACGGTTTATACTTTGCCGCACATCAGGATTCCAACGAAACAACACAAAACAGCGTGGTTCTATTATGTATGTAATCCGTGTACGCTTGGAAATAGGTTGGCAACACTTAAAGATAATAATACTTCAGCTGATTAACTATTATAACTACGATTTAACGGGGTAGCGGATTTTTATCCCCCTGGAATTTTACCCCCTGGGCAAACGTGACATCAGAAACCAGAGGGGAAAAATTCCGGCCGCGAACTTTTGAGTTTTGCGACACTCCCGGATTTTTAACCCCGGAATTTTACCCACTCGCCAGTTATATAAATTAGTGAGAATGATTAATTATCTTCGTTCTGTTTTAATTTAATAGTAAATATTTTATTATTAAGTAGCCTATATTGATGTATTTGTAAAATGAACTAATCGAACAGGTTTTAGCGAATTTCCCTATAGGGAAGTAGCTATTACCGTAGGTCTCATGGTAAGACCTAAGCCCGGGACCGATTTACTTTTTCATTTTGATGTCCCCAGAGGCCAAAAACACCATTCGTTCAAATTTTTATATATCTATATATAGATATATATATATATATATATATATGTGTCCATCCGCACGATAACTTGAGTAATTTTTGTCCGATTTTGATAAAATTTGGTTTGAAAGTGTAAGGCGGGATAAACTTGAATGAGTTTGCGAACCAGCATGATCGGACTATGGGAACGGGGGTTTATGGAGGATTTTATGGGGTAAAAATAGGTTTTTCCCATTTTTGACCCTAAAAACACAAAATTTCACAATTTCTTTTTAAACCATTTTGTAGAGCTTAAAAAAACAAATAATTTAGTATATTGAAGCGTTATTATGCGCCTAATTGTTACGGAGAAAATTCAAAAAAATTGTAATTTTAAAATTCCCATGTTATTCTTATGGAGAATAAGTCAACTGTTGTAGTTTGCTTGTTTATGAACATATTTTGATTGATTTTGGAAAATACTTTTATTTCTTACTAAACTATTATCATAAAAAAAAAAAAAATCTTTTTTACCCTCCCTGTTGCAGCAAACCTATAAGTACTCGTTAAACTAATTCTATTTAAAAATAGGAAATAAATGTGCTATTTAATGGAAGCATTTTAGTGTAAATCCAATAAGGTTAATGGAAATTCGCTTAGTCTGCAGGTTTGCTGCGGCGGGGGTATTTAATTTTAATTTTGAGATTCTAGTATTAGGATTCGATTTTTGAAGCCAACAATATGACAAGCAAGTTACAACATGACAATATGTAACAATATGAAGCAAGTTATTATGTCGTATAAACAATCAACTGAATGATAATTGTGTCGAACATTTCTTTACAAAATAAAGAAATAAAGATAGGCTACTAAATAGTTAAATGTTTATTATTAATTAAAAACAGAAATAAGAAAATCAAAAAATCATTCAATTTCTATAATAGGCCAGGGGGTAAAATTCCGGGGGGTAAAATTCCGGGGGTAAAAATCAGGGGGTAAAATTCCAGGGGGTTAAAATCCGGGGGTAAAAATCCAGGGGTAAAAATCCGGCCCGTACATCTTCAGTTGTCTAAAACGCTAGTTATACGGACAGGGGGTAAAATTCCGGTTTTTATTGCTAATCTAATTAATCACGCTCTAGCTATTTTCATTAGACTTCCAAATCCGCGGGGGTAAAATTCCGGCCGCGAACAAACTTTTGGCCACTCAGGCTACTACGTCATAGTGACGTCAGCTTTGCCCAGGGGGTAAAATTCCAGGGGGATAAAATTCCGGCGACCCGATTTAACCTGTCATTTCGTGTTTATAGTTTCGGTACTTAAGGATTTTCTTTTAAACGTTTTTAAAACATTCCTACAATCTCAATAAACAAGAATATACCATTAAAGCACTTTTTTAGGTGCGGAAACCACTTCAAATTACAAAAACATACGGAACTATTTTCTTAAGTCGTGGAGCGCATTGCTTCCCGAGGAAAAATAGCGAAGTGAGACAGACCGGGTACTAGGTACTTTCTCTAGGGCATCTATTTGTGTTGCCAACTGAACCTAAAAACGTGTTGTATATAGGGTTTGTAAGTCTAATTATTTATATGCTTTAGTGACTATAGGAAAAATATAATGTGTAACACGAGTGCAAAAGGCCTTTGCTGCACTGAGCCGCAGGCGAGTGAACATTGCTCTCGTGGGAAATAACTATTGTTAAATATGAAAGTTAGTAAATTCTATTAATTAATTTTTAACCCCTAAAAATAGTTTATTGAAGTGTTGTTATATGCCTAACGCTTACAAACAAAAATTCCAAGAAAAGTAATTATTGAAAATAACTATCTTATTATTATAATAAAATATCTTTGGAAAGATTTAGGATAGGTACCTTATCAAATTCCACCATGGACTAAAATCATGGATTAGGATGTTAGGCTATAGAATTTTTCAATCTATTGCTATTGTGAAAGATATGTGGATCATCGCTATGATTATCTGAAGTCAGAATATCTTTGAAGTTAAAGATCATAAATTTGAAAGATCAAAAGAAAATACTGTTTGCAAGGTCATAATGAAATAGGTAATCTAACAAATATTTCCGGGTACTTAAAGTTTATTAAAATCCAACTTTTAAGAAAGATGTTTGACAATTAATTACTGGAAATTTAGTTAAACAGCAACACTTTAAGTGATTGACCAACAATTGTTAAAATTATCATTGTCAACATGTCTGCTAAAATTATAGAATTTGAAGCTTGAATTGAAAATTAACAGAATTGAAGAAAAAATCTTAACCCTTTGGCCTGTACTGGGATCAAAAATAAATTTTACAGAGCCAAACTAACTTAAACTTATTTCAAAGATTTTTTAACACACCACGTCAACTAATTATCATTGTTACTAACCGTTTTTGTAGCACTTCAATTTTTGCTGTACAGACGTTATAGCACCTAAGACTGACAACCTATTCACAGTGGACTTTATTTTAGCAGCTGTGCCAAATTCATCGTTTAACATTCTATTGGCTCCCCCAATCTGATCTTTTGGCGACAAGATCAGTGAAATCATGGAGGTTCCATTGCTGGAAAAAATATTTAACATTAAACTTAACGTAACTTGTAGCCTATCAACAACTGAAATTGAAATCTTCAGCCAACAGAACATAGAATAGTATTTAATTTGGAATTGCAAAGCTTCTTTGTAAAAGTTAAATGAAGACTTATGGGCTATATATAATACTGTTCAGTTCTAGGCCTAGTTTTAAAATGAAACAATGATATATTTGTTACCGTATTTATTTTCAGCGTAAGTACTCAATGAACTTAACAGGTTCACTACCAGGTGTCACACTCCTCTAAAAGTTTTATACAGTGTGACAATTAAGTTTTAGGACTACTTAATAACTTAAAATGAAAAGAGATAACACAACCAAATTTGGCACGTCATTATTGGTAATATTAAGCTACTTTTCTGTGTATATGGTGGTCGAATGTCATGTATAGGGAACGGCCCATAGGGAGTATGTTGAAAATCTCAAAGGTAAGCAAATGCTGATATATGCATCAAATTAAAGGTATTTTTGAACCAAAAACAATACCTGAAACCAAACCTCAAATAGATAATTGAGTCAAAAACGGCAGCCATTCAAAGATTTATAAATAAATAAATTTATACATTGATAAATTTCTTTTCCTTGTACTGACTTGGCTAATGCAAGTATTGTCAATTTGGCCCAATAAATGACTTATTGACTCATTTCTTGAATCTGCCATTTGGAATCTTTAAACGGCTGCCATTTTTACTCAGCTGTTCTTTTGAGCTCAAATTTGGGGCATTGTATTCTAAAATTAAAGACCCTTAATTTGATATGCATATCAACCTATGCTTAAGTTACGTTTATGATTTTCTTCCGTCTTTTGGAGGGCACGTCCTGTAGGAGGTAGAGTATAAGTAAATGCCATTGCAAACTCAATGAATCTTTGAACAGCTGTAATTATTGGCTCAATTGTCCATTTTTGAGGTAGGATCTGTGGCATTGTTTTAAGTTTAACAGGTCCTTTAATTTTATGTACATCTCAACCTATGCTTACCTTTAAAGGTTTTCATCATACTCCCTATAGGCTGTCCCCCATAGGTTGCATCCAATCACCATGTACACAAAAAAGAAGCTTACTATTACCAGTAATGATATTCCAAATTTGGTTGAGAGATCTTTTTTAGTTTTAAAGTTATATAGCCGTTCTAAGACTTATTGCCATTCTGTAACTAAGGACTCATAGAAAAAAAACATATAAGTTACCGGTAACTTAGGGTGCGTTCACAAAGAAAGCTGGTTACAAGTAACTTACTTTCAGCGCTTGAGAATGCTGTTGTGTGTTCACAACAAACGCTTGCATTTCAAGCTCAGTGTAGTCTCAGCTCTGGACGAGACAATATCTTCCCGAAGCGATGGAGAGTTATTTTTGATTGAAAATGTAAATTTCGTAAAATTCGTAGAAGGAAATAAGTAGGTGTTCATGCAATTAACCGCGGAAGAGGTAGGTTCGGGGAATACCACCATCACCAAATTGAAACTGGGTATTTCCCCAAATTGAAACTGGACAAAGTGGGGTTTTTTTCTTATATGAGAATGGAGTTAACCGTGTTTAATTACATCCTCAAGAAAATTGAAAGTGTTTTAGTGAAGTTTTGGGAGATTTGGCATAAGCAACCTATCCATGCACCAGAACGAATTTAGGGCCGATAATAAAACTTAAAACATACTCGAAGGGAGTTTTAAGCACCCTCTGTAGCTGATTAATTAATATTCAAATAATATTGTGAGATATATTCAAATGTTTTAATTTTCTAGGTAAATAAAGTAAAAGTATACAGGTTTGATCCATAAAAAATCCAACACTTAATTAATATTGAAATAAATGTGTTTGTCTATCATCTACATATATGTTATATTTGCCCTATTGGTTACGTTATTGAACATTCTAGGGGAAATCCACAATAGGTAGGTACGTGGGTAATATAGGCTATTTCTTTTGGAAATTTGAACCTCTAAATACTTGAGCTATCAACACTCATCAACATCCATACTGCACTAAATTAGTTGTTTCTGCCTGGTTCGGTCAACAAGCGCCGGAAATTAAGTACAAAACGTTCTTGCGTGCTTGTCAGAGCTTGTAACAAGCGCTTGCTAGTCGGCACAAGCTTTGTCTGTGAACGCACACGCTTGATACTATGTTGACTTTTCTCACGCCGGTTCGAGCTTGCAAGCGCTTGCCAACAAGCGCTTGTAACCAGCTTTCTTTGTGAACGCACCCTTAGTTCCAAAGCTTTAGCCATATAAGTTAGCTTTAGTTCATATATAGGCCTAAGTCTTGTCAGCAAGCAGGGAGGTGCAAGGGAGTTGGATGACCATTTGAACTCATTGTAACTAGTAACCTAGAAAGGTGAGGTTAAAGGTATCAATACATAAATTTGACTTAGGCTACATAGGAATTTCATAACTCACAGTTAACTTAATATATCGTCATAAGTTACAGTGTAATGCTAAAGATAAGATTTCAATACAAAAATTTTACAAAATGCCGACAATTTACTATACCAACACAAAGGGTATTGACATGTAAGTTTGACGTATGCGTTCCAAGAAATCAACCAGCAAGGACATAAAGAAACACACTACGACCCAACCAAGGCAACTGGCTGGAACTAGTCTTGGTTGAGGGGGTTGGGGGTGTGACACTAAAGATAACTTGCCCTAAGTCAAACTTAAGACGATGCCCATCTAGGGTTAAATTAGTCCTTGGACTCCATGTCATCAAGAAGGGTAGAGTACAGTATAGTTCTAAGACTGCAAAACGGATTTAAATAAAAAGCTTAGGAAAGTTTCAACAGAGTCTCTATGAATAGATACCAAAAGAGAGCACATTCCTCAGGCTTACAAGTTTGGTCATCTATGAACAGAACTTCTAGGGCCTATAAAATCTAGAATAAATCTAGTCGAGCTCTAAGCCTAATTAGGCTAATACTGTTTGTAACTTACTACAAACGTAGACCACTGTTAAACTGGTTTTTGCATATGCACTTAAAACTTGAGGATGCAATTACTTAGATTTGTTTACTCACCCTTTGCAATTTTTTAATTTTTTTAAAATATTTGTAAATTTCCAAACATCCACTACATCAGCGTCCATAGCTTCAACTGTAGAGAAGGCAGAAGGGAGGGAAGCCGGAATATGCGATTAGGAATAGAATAGGAATGATGCTACAACGCTACAACACAACAATAATGCAATTGAAAATGCAAAAATGCAACGGCAATAAAGACATTAAAAATACAAATGTTACGAAAAATCAAAGGCATCTAAAAACACAACTAAGCATTGAATATTGCAGTGTAATATCAGTTCTTATATTGTCACGCCACAGCCACTTCTAACTCCAGGTTTTTAGTGTCCGACGTCCCATAAGATAACATGGAAGACAGGTCACATCAACTCATTAATTCGCACTTTATTGATTTAAATTTACAAACATACAATTTAATGACATGTTGAAAATAAAACATACAGAACTGAAAATCAAAACAATATGAATTGAATATCTATGTCTGTACATGCTGAGTCATTTTCTTAGTCCAGTAACTCAGTTCTCGTAAATAAATATATAACATTAGCTGCTTACAAACAAAACACTAAATAATGGTGTAAATACCTTCATTTATGTGATCAATTTGTTGCTAAATTGCAAACGGTTTCGACTCACAAAGGAGTCATCTTCGGGCCAGTACAGATGTTTTCTTGCTTCATTTGAAGGTCGTCAATTTATAATATAAATAAATACATTTAACACGCACACGTACACGAACATAAAAACAAACATTTAGGGTTGAAAACGAAGGATAATACTATACGGTAACGGGTTATCCTTCGTTTTCAACCCTAAATCTTAACTAACCCCTAACTTCTTACCCTAACTTTTAACTACAGGCCGCGGCCTTAGAAGTGGCAACATCGCAAGTAGGGTTGTAACAACTGTTTTGTTTGAAGGCAGCTAACGGTATTTGTGTATATTTTTATAAATACGAAAGCTTGGTTACTAGAATATGAAAATATAAACTCCACTTTAAGTGTACAAAATTAGATTTTTGATTTAAATATGGTTTTGGTTTTCAATTCTATATGTTTTATTTTCAATCTCTCAATTAGTTTATGTTTATAAATTAAAATTTTAATGAATAATACGTGAATTAATGAGCTGGTGTTTGCCAGTCTGCCGTTATCATAAGAACAGTTGGCGCTAGACAACACTAATTGCAACGTTGTCGATTCTACCAGGCCGTGGCTTTTCCCTCAAAATACAATGCATAAGTCATGCTTGTAAATTGACTGGCCCTTTTTGCCTATAAATTTTAAAATCTTATTTTTTATGGAAAGTCACGATGGATGATGAAGCCATTGTAGCCAGTATTTTGCTTGCATTATCTATGTTAATCTCCTCAACGACGTGAGCAATAAATCACCGCCACTCTATTACCTAATACATCTATGGAGAAAATAGGCTACTTATCGCCTCCCTGGTCTCTTCCCGTTACACTGTACCTACACATGAAGGCGGTTAAAATGGACTAAAGAGCAGATTGAAACCAACCACCAACTTTCAGTCAACCCCAATGAACCGCGGCAGTTGTAGATTTCCCTTTAACCACCGCAGTTTTTAATGCCTATAAAAAGACCTCAGCATAAATTTGAACAGCTGGTAACTTGTAAAGTAATTCCAAAGGATTAAATACCTGGCCTTCACAACACAGTCGTTGCGTAGTCCATCATTAATATACAGAACACAGAGTTTTTAATAATGGTTGGACGTGAGGAGGCAGAAGGGTTGGTCTAGTGACCTCCCCCAACCCCCAACCATCCACACCAGCTGCCAGATCATGTACATCATTAGTTTCGTTCCCTACACGAGTCAACGTTAAAGTGTGCTTTAACATTCTAGGCCCATTACATGGTATATCAATCATTTTGTGTTTTCTAGAAAAAACTGCATTTCCTGAATCTCACAAATTTTAATAAAACTTAGTTATTAACTAGCCATAACCAGCCGGTGAACGCATCAAGGTGCCACCAAGACAACCCGCCATCAGAAGGTCGGAGTTTCAACTACGGAGGAATGACGACCAGCGAACCAGCCGTCTCGTTATATCTTTGTGATGATACATCTCTGACAGAAACGCTTGGTACAGCGTTGTCGGGGGTGTACCATTGACTATATAATACCATACCCCTTTAGAAATAATCAATGGTGGCACCTTGTCAGCGACCAATCCCCAAAGATCACGGTGACGTCATCATCATCTCCCGCGTTCACGACGGACTAACATTAAAATCAACTTCAGGGTAAAATCATAACAACGATTCGGTAACACTGCATTGGATTAGGACTAGAATCAGATTTCAGATTGAGATCGAGATGAAATGAGGATTGATGACTTCAATTTTAGGCCTACATGTTAATTTCTACATCAATTGAATTGGACAATTCAAAGACGAGACAATTTCAGTTCTGGTTATTTTCTTTTCTTTTGGCACACCTCTATCCTCTAGTTAAAGTCGAGCTGTATGCTAGTTATTATTCAGAAGTTACCATAGCCTAAATAGACAAAAACGGGCAAATTTAATTAAAACTTTAAAATTAAAACGCTAACACTAGCCTGTACAAAAAACGCTCTCGACTGTCGAGCGTGTTACACAGATCAGTGCAGTGTAATTAATAGTGTAGTCAACTCAATAACCCAACACGCAACATATCAAAGCCTAATCCTGTATCTTTAGTAAGTATCTTAGTATCTAGGCTATGTATATTCAGTACGAAGTTGAATTACGAAGAATCACGAAGTCAGTACGAAGAAAAAACACTTAAATTTAAGTTACTAGTTCAAAAACGCAAGCATTTTTGAAAAAGTAATTTGAAGTGTTTTTTTCTCAGGATTTTAATTTTACAAAAACAGTCTGCATGCAACATAAACTAAGATACATTATAACCTAAATTTTACCTTCCTAACCTAACCTAACTTCAAAACACTTAATGCAGTCACCAATTCACATACAGCACGACCTACCACCCTGACATGCCAAAATAAGAACTAGGGCCTACATGTAATTAGTCCACTAGTCCATCTATATCTCCATAATGTGACAAAATTCCTATTATAGAAAACATTAAGTTATTTGACTACAGAATCACTTGAAATGTTGTCCATCCTATCTTGTTTATTGTAATGTTAAGTAAGTTATGTTTTTATGGCAATATCTTGAGAAATATTCATCAGCGGTGAAAAATAATGGTATATTTGGATTCAGGAGGTAAAAAACTATAAAGTAAGATATCCTTTTGACGAAAGTTTGTTACCGGTGAGAATTTGGGGGTTTGGTTGGGAGAAACATCGAACATGGTTAATCATCGGGTTAAAGGGAAATTAACTTGGTGGAGGAAAGGGTTTAAAGGGTACCGGTAATTAATTTTATGGGTAAAAGGGGAATTTTACAGAAATAACTTGGGGTAATGGATAATTACCAGGGAGGAATAAGAACTTTCCCCGGAATACTGAATACCTATTTGCTTGAAGTTGGGAAATTTTCAAGTATCGACCTTAACTTAAATGTTGGTTGTTGTGGCACTGCCAACGCGCTTGTTAGGTTATAGGTTTGGGGGCTATTGTTTATATGTGAATGAATGAGATGAATGAAATGAAATGAAACAGTGATTTATTAAACAATAAAAATAATCCTTTCAAACCTAGGCTCCTCGCAGGAAGCCACAATGTCTTACACTAAACCGTAATGGTTTGTAGAACCGTCTACGTGGTTGGCATAAGTACATCTTTTTTTACAGTAATTTTTTTTCTATTATAAAATTCAATTCTTGACTAAAAAAAGTAAAAATTCTGAAATCAAAATGTTTAATTAAACCGAATGAAACTAAAAAAAATAAAGTAAGTTAGCTGGCTCACAACCCAATTTATGTTTTAGAAAGTTATATAGCCTAGGGACTATATATATTTTAAAACAAATACTTAACCCACCCCAAAATAATATTGTCTTAAAGTTAGTGAATTACCGGTATGCCTTGAATATAATTCTGGACCCAAGTATGGCAATTTCAAATTATTTTTAGGCCTATACGTTGAATTTGATTATCAATCCCCACCTAGAATGCCAAGCTTCCTTTAAACACCCACCCAACGCGTGCCAATCCCTCCCATTCATAAAACTCAAAACCTCTTCCCACTCCAATACATGTTTAGAAAAATATTTCTTTCATATATGAGACAACACAGGACATCTACCTACAAAATGGAAAATGTTTTCGTCCTCTTGAATATTACAAAGTGAGCAAATGGAAATTTTGTTCTAAAATCCAAGGTTTATAATTCAGATGTATTGCCTCAGCTCTTACCTTGAAAATCCAACGCTGTAAATTCATACCAACATTATCTGAAAGATATAACCGATGGAAGAGATTTAAGTCAAGTGATCTATAAATGTGGTGATAACGACATTCCAGCGCAGCTTTTGTCCAGGCCTTTATATGTTTATATCATGCATTTGACTTAAATTCCTCCATTGTCTAGCCAAGGATACATTTAAAAAAAAACTTGCTTGGCGAAAAGGTTTGTATATCTTTTCGCCTGAAGCGACAAAGATTGTGTTATATAACTGACATTTGACATAAAGGTATAACAATACATATTTTTTATCCCTATCTCTAAATGCTAAATATAATTTTGCACATTTTTTGGAAGGCAAAATATTTTCTTGATAAATACAGTAGACTCCCTCTTATCCGGACACCTTTTAACCGGACATCTGTTTAACCGGACTACACTCGGCGGAAATGACATCTCTTTAACCGGACATCTTTTATGAGCACATTAGTTTAACCGGACTAGATTGGGAGGAAGTGGACGGTACTGAAACAACTGTTCTCATGGGAAATATTTGAGACCAGTCATCACGTGACTAAATACAATGCTCTCCTAATTTTAAGTTAAATATCACAGTAAACAAGTCCGTTTTAACAAGTTTTTGGGGACGTCGGCTTAACTGGAAAACCCGTTAGCCGGACTAACCTCGGTCCCGTATGGAACCTCACATTTAACAGTTCTCATTATGTATCACAGTTTTTTTTTGCTGCTTTGTTC